ATCATCATCAACTTTTTTAATTAGTCTTAGATGATATTTGGCTGGACAGTGCCCTGTAATTAGTCCTTCTTTGAGAGGCTAAGGAGTTTTTGGGTGTTTGATGCATTTGGCATCACAAACTTTCTTGATTGTCGGGCTGTGACAGTATTATTCCAATTACAATCTATCATCATCTTTTTCCAGTTCCTTAATTCCATCTTGATGGAGCTTGGAGAGACCCCACAGAATGGTTCAGGTCCTAGAAATTGTTTAGATGATCCTTGCCTGGCTAGTTCATCAGCCTTTTCATTACCTTCTACTCCACAGTGTCCTGGCACCCAGTAGAGATTTACTGTATTGTTATTAGACAACTGTTGAAGTAACTGAATGCATTCCCATACTAACTTGGAAGTACATGTAAATGATTTTAAAGCATTCAAAGCTGCTTGGCTATCAGAAAAGATGCATAGATTTGCATGTTTATATTTTCGCTTTAAACACACAATAGTGCATTCTAATATGGCTTGAATTTCAGCCTGAAAAACGGTTGGCCATCCACCCATGGAAACTGAAATATTAACACCAGGACCTGTCACACCAGCTCCCACTTTATCATTTTGTTTTGATCCATCAGTAAAGAATACAACTGATCCTGGGCGGATTTGTGGTCCTCCCGCACTCCAGAGAGAGCGGTCTGGTTGTACCACATTGAACAGTCGACTAAAATTGAATTTTGTCTCCATCCAATCATTACTGACTGTAACTAATGGATTGATTCGAATTAGTTTTAATATATGTAAGTGTCCCTTAATGTTCCCTTCAAACAAGGTTTTAGTTCGCTTAAGTCTTAGTGCGCTCTTTTCAGCATCTAATTGCACAAATTGGTGTAGTGGAAGAAGATTTAGTATCGCATCTAAGGCTTTCGTAGGTGTGCTACGCATCGCATCTGTTGTAGATACCGTAGCCAGTCGTTGCAACTTTTCTAGTTTGTTTATTGCACACTTTTCCTTAGTTTTTGGCCACCATACTAATGAGGCATATGTAATTCTGGGTCGTATTATAGCCGTGTATATCCAATGGATCATTGCTGGCCTCAGTCCCCATTTATTTCCAAAGGTTCTATTACTTATCCATAGTGCATTTGTTGCTTTACCTATGATTTGGTTTAAGTGTTGGTTCCAGTTAAGTTTATAATCAATTGTAACTCCTAGATATTTGACTTCAAGTGAAAGTTTCATTGATGTCCTTTCCATGTGAAGACCAGTTATTTTTATGTTTCTTCTTTTTGTGAAAGGGATAATATTTGTTTTTTGAGGATTTATGCTCAATCCTTCTGACTTGCACCAAGCAATGGTGTAATTTATGGCTTGTTGCATCCTGTTTGTAATAACATCGTCATATTTTCCCCGAACAATTATTACAATATCATCTGCAAACCCAATTATTTCAAAGTAAATCGTCTACTACTAATGACCACAGAAGTGGAGACAAAACACCCCCTTGTGGGCAACCTTTAACAGCTCTTACTGAAATATTTGAGCTACCGAGCTCAGCCGAAATTTCACGTTTTGAAAGCATTTCACTAATCCAGCTTATGATACGTATGTCAAAGCCACGCTTTGACATTGTCTTTGCCATAGAAGTGTGTGATGCGTTGTCAAACGCTCCCTCAATATCGAGAAATGTTGCAAGCAAAATTTCTTTTGCTTCAAACGATTTTTCTATTTTTGAAACAAGTGTGTGTAACGCTGTTATAGTTGATTTTCCTGATTGATAAGCAAATTGATGGCTGCTCAAAGGATTACTTTTCAAAAATTTTGATTTTATGTGTTGATCTATAAGCTTTTCCATGATTTTTAGCATTACGGATGATAAGCTTATTGGTCCAAACGATTTAGGTGAAGTTTTATCTTTCTTGTTAGCTTTCGGAATAAATACAACACGTACTTTTCGCCATGATGACGGTATATACCCAAGCATAAGACTTGCTTTAAACATATTAGTAAGAGATGAAGTAAGTATCCCATTACTTTTTTGAAGAAAGGCAGGAAATATTCCATCCCTGCCAGGAGATTTGAATGGTTCAAATGCATTTATGGCCCATTCTACCTTAGAACTGTATGCTATGTTTTTTCCATCATATGTAGATGTTAATAAACTAGCATTGGACCTATTTATGTTAGATTCACCCTGAACATTTATCTTGTGTTTGATTTGATCAGTATTGTCCTGTAAGGTTGGTAAATTGTTTGTACTGAACATGGGAAATGTGTTTGCATCATTACTTCCAGTGTTTCAGTTCCATCGGAAGTAAAGCAATTGTTTTCCTTTTTGAGAGTTCCTAAACCATTTGAATGATCTTTGGAAAGGACTTTTTGCAGTCTTGCAACTACAGGAGTGTTTTCAATGTTTTCACATGTACGCCTTCAGTCCATTCTTTTTGATCTTCTTATTTCTTTATTATATTCGGTTAGGGCACTTCTATATTGATCCCATTGCATTGTATTTTTTGCTTTATTGAACAGTTTTTGTGCTTTCTTTCTTAGTTTTTGTAAGCGTTTGTTCCACCAAGATACGTCTCTGTCATTTGAACGCTCAGTAACTGGACAACTAGCATAAAAAGCCTGTTGAATTAAGTTCGATACTTGCACCGAAGCATCTTCTAGTTCCTGAATTGTAGTAAAGCTACCTACAGGAATTCGACCTTCTTGTGTTAAATTTGTGCAATATAAATCCCAGTTAGTTTTCCTGGGATTCCGAAAAATCTCTTTTTTTCCATTTGTTTGCCTGATATTCGAACAATATTTGTCTGTGGTCAGACAAGGATATTTCATCCGATACATGCCAATTTTTAATGTTTTCTGATAAGCTGGCACCACATAGAGTCAGATCAAGAACTTCTTTTCTAATTGAATTAATAAAGGTTGGTGCACAACCTTTGTTGCAAATATCAATATTGTTATTAATAATATATTCTAAAAGGAACTCACCCGATTATTGACATCAGTACTACTCCATACTGTATGGTGAGCATTCGCATCACAACCGATAATAAACGGTTTGTTGTTCCTTTTACAATAAAAGATAAAGTCTTTAACATCAGTTGGAGGAATCTCCTCGTCATCTCCAGGAAAGTAAGCGGAAGCCACATACATTTCCTTCACTCCACGTGAAGTTGGAACCTCCATTGAAATTGCAACAATATCTCTTTTGATATATTCAGTTATTGGTAAGAAATTAGTTTTGCCATTGACGAGAATGGCTGCTCTAGGTGCTAGTTGATTTTTATCGTATATCAACTTACCTGACTGTGTAGGTATTCCCAATACTCTACAGTTATTCTTCCATGGCTCCTGAATCAAAGCAACATCCAGTTGGCTTTGAATGAACTTTTTACAAAGTACAGCTGTAGCTCCCTTTGCATGATGTAAGTTTATTTGAATAAATTTGATATTGCTGTTGTTGTTGTTTTGACAATTGTTTCTATAGCCATTCCTGTTATTCGTATTATTGTCTAGGCAGTTGTTGTTGTTGATAATAATTTTATTTGCGTTATTATTATTCATTGTGTGTTCGGTAGAGTATCGCTTTTCTGAAGTGCTTTCAGCCCCCCTGTGTTGGTTTTGCGATCACCCAAATTTTTCATATAATTTGAAATGTACTTATTTGTATGTAAATTGTTTGTTTTGTGACCCTTGTTTAGACCAGTTTTGGAGTGTGGTACTGTATGAGGGGTTCTAGGAGAATTATGAGCATTTTGTTTGGACCCCACAGAACCTTTAGATCCTGGAGGTTGTTGAAACGTGTTCTGTGGTCCTTGTACGGTGTTACTGGTTCCTTCGGGAATTTTACTAATTCCACTAGGTCCCGGTAGACACAGTACTTTGGAATCTGAACTACTCTTCATACTTCCAGTACTCTTATGCTGTTCTAGAGGGATCTTCAGCTGCTCATCCTCCTTGCCCCCATTCAGACCATCGCCATCCTGTTCTTCTGATTTATCCTGTTTATCATCAGTATTTCCATCTAGTATTTTATCGGTAATTTGTTCACCCCGGTTTTTAGTAGCCTGGATTTGTGACTTATTTTTCTGCATATTCTTGCGTCGGAAAGGAGCTGTTCCAAACTTGTAATCAAGAAGGAATTCACACTTCTTGATAGTGTTCAGTGAGACTCCATCCACATTAAAAACTAATTCAACATGTAGCTGATTGATGGTGTTTCTTTCCAAGATTCTCCATTCATCAGTATTTAACCCTTCATTTTGACTCTCAAGGAGTGCTAGAATATCATCAGTAGGGTCTTCAGCACTCACAGGAAAAAAACCAATAATAATTTCAGGGCGAGGAATATTTTTCTCATCCACAGCAGTAAGTTTTATTTCTCCCAAGATGGTAATGGTAGAAATAACGCTTTTCAGCCAATCAGCAGTTTCCTGATTTTTGCAGACGAGAACTAGATACCCCGTCCTAAAAACACATTGTCCAAATTTAGGCTTGACCTTCTGCTTACGTTGCTGCACAACTTTTGTAAGGATAGCCTTGCGTACGGCTACCAACTGTTGTGTGGATAATTCAACGTTAGGGTAAATTTCCGGAATGATTCCTAGCTTAACACTATTCACCACATCACGATAAAGAGGTTTAGTATCTTTCCGTGTATTTTCAACACGTTCAGAGCGATCCTTATGATTGACAATCAATCGATTTTGAACCGAGGCCTTTCCCAGATCAGGGCGGTTCGAACCAGGCTTCGGTTCCGAAAGCTTACAATGGATTTTGCTTGGACGAGGATTACCTCCACTACTACTTGAACAACTAAGTTCAGCACTACGCGATCTTTTTTGAAGATCAGGATTCGGTGTCTGCATAGGAATTCGAGCGAGACGATAAGCTTCTTCTACATTCATTCCGTCGTTTATCATTCGCTTATAGCGCTTCCTAGCAGCACCACTTAACTTCGTATTTTTACCGTTTCCCGAGACGTTTCCCAATGAACTTGATTGCTCAGTAGAATCAGTCTCAGTAGCAACTGCAGGTGGATATTCGATTAGTTGTTGTTGACAGTATGGTGATATTTATCCCATCTTCGAAGTCGTCGTCGTCTTCAAAACCGTCGCCGGCTCCAACCGGAGTATCCAAAATAGACGAAGAGCAAGAAGGAATATCCTCTATCGAACTGCTTTCCATAATTGCCTCTTCTCTATCAACCTCCATCTGCATCGTATTGATGTTAGGTTCAGTCATGTTTTTGCTGAAAGCATAAAAACAAGTTATGTGAGAAAATGGATTGCGTTTACATTCTGTTTTGAGTGGTGTTGTTCGAAAGAATTATTGACTCATTGCCGATAATTAGCTGAAATTTGTAGACATTGAAGACTACGATACACATACGCATGCTTTGTTGTTTCGCAGCGTAGTATAATACAATCAAGTAATTGCTACCATGTAGATCACTCAGTACTTTTTATTGTGTAGCCAGGATTTTATTTACCACTACACACAAGGAATGTTGCATGCAACATGAGATACGAGAGACATTGGCCGCGTATAACAGTTATCGCCCTATTGTCAAATACTCTATTGTATGCACTAATTTAACTTGGAAATTAAAAACACTTTTTTTGTTTCGAAACCTGCAAATTCCTACCTCCTTAATACACTTTTCGTGATCTTTAACACTTTCAATGTATATGCTTTGATCACTCGCGATTTTATCTACACTTTTGCAATGATAATATTGAAAACAATCGTGAGACAATGTGAAACCGCTTCTGTATCTCAGCAGGGTTGCCATTGCAAATCACCATTAAGCAAACCCCACACGCATCAATATATTGAAACGAAGGGGAATTATTGACAATAATATTGATGATGTGAATTCAGAAATATTATCAATCTCGATGTATTAACGTCAATACAGACTGTAATGACAATACGATTATTGTCAATGAAGTGTTCATCTCAAAGAATAAAGAAAGTTTGAGTGCTTCTAATATTCACTTCGAATCACTAATTTTTCCATCTCGGTCGCAGCTGTAGTTTGCTGCGATTACTTGAATGGAACATCGTGATTACTTGGATGAGGAGATGTTCCATCCAGTACTCCTCGAATCTAGCTGGTAAACGAGTCTGCCGGCGTTCCCTTGTTGCTGGAGGAACTGGTATTGGATCTTTTTTTTTTTTTCCTTTGGTTTGTTTTTTTTTCCGTCGATCTTGTTTTCCGTGCTGAGCATCAATGCTACCGACGTGCCAGGAAGGCAGCTCCCACACCTGGACCCTACCTATCGACCCATCAACTCATGAACCGGGGACCAACGGCTTTACTTCCCATCCGAAGGAAGGCGTGATCAGAGATGTTATGCCTCAGAACATCCCGGCAGCGCCGACTGGGATTGAACCCAGGCCTGCTGGGGTGAGAGGTAATCACGCTTACCACTAGACCACCGGCGCCGTTATACTACTGGATCTTGCTGTGGTGGATTGTCTGCCTCACTATCATCCGAAAAATACTCCGCCTCATCACTTCCAAGCTCTTCATCAACTGGACCAAGTTCGTCGGGCACTGCAGCCGGTATCGTTGCTGGAACGGATGGTACGTCTAGGCCAAAACCGTCGAAGAATACCGATAACAGACTTGGACCTTGGCTTGGACTAGGATCTGGACCAGATTCGACCGCACGTTGCTTCAGTTAATTGGCATGAGAACGGATGAGCCGCTGATTATCCTCCAGGAAAACGTTGTAGTTGACTTTTGGACTTGAGCATATACAGCATCACCCGGAACGAACTGCCTCGAAATCGTCGTCCGAACATTATTTCCGCAGGAGACTTTTCACCTAGGTCAGCCGTTGGTGTTGAGCTGTAAACTTGCAAAAACGTCTGCAATGCTTCCTCCAGTGTGTCTCCACCCGATCGGATCTTCCGAGGAGTGCGCTTCAAGGTATCCACGAACCGTTCTGCTAACCCATTTGATTGAGGATGGAATGGTGCTGTGCGGACGTGGTGAATGCCTTGATTCTCACAGAAATTCCTGAACTCGTAGCTGGTGAACTGGGTACCATTATCTGAGACGATGGTTTCTGGCTCGCCAAATGTTGCGAACGTTTGAGTAAGTAGCTTGATTGTTGTTCTTGTCGTTGTGGTTTTAGTTGCGTATACTTCGGGCCATTTGGTGTACGGGTCGACAACTACCAGGAAAAATACGCCGTCCACAGGTCCTGCGTAGTCAATATGGATGCGTGACCACGGCTTATCAGGGATGGGCCATGATTCAAGCGTTGTTTTGACTGGTGCTTTTCCAGTAGTGCAGCAGGGAGTGCATTGCCGGGTGAAATTCTCGATGTCGTTGTCGATTTCGGGCCAGTAAACGAAACTGCGTGCAATAGACTTCATTCGTACCATGCCGGGATGTCCGCGATGAAACTGCTTCAGGATTTGCCTTCTGAACTTACTCTGAACGACTACCCTGTCGTGGAACAGTATACAGCCATCGACGTTGGTGAGAGACTCCCGCCTGTTGAAGTAGACTCGAATCTCTGGATCTTTGACTGATCGTGCATCGTTTGGCCAACCCTCACGAATGAACTGCAGCACCGCTTGTAGTGGTTCATTTGCCTGTGTTGCACTTTGGATGTCTGCGAACGAAACTGGTACCTGCTCGATAGTGTTTTGAATTATGCTCACCATGTCTTTTTCTAGGGATATCGCTGCCACAACGTACTCCTCTTCTTGCTGCTTAGAACGGTCGATGAGTCTTGACAGCATATCGGCGCATCCGAAGTCGTTGGTAGACACGTGCCGAATGTCGAAGTCGTAGTTGAGAAGCATCAATGCCCATCGTTGAAGTCGATTTGCGGTGTGCAAAGGAATGCCCTTCTTCGATCCAAAGATTGATAACAGCGGTTTGTGATCCGTGAGCAGAGTGAATCTGCGCCCAAGGAGGTACTTGTGAAACTTCGTTACCGCATATTTTAGTGCAAGTGCTTCTTTTTCCGGCTGCCCGTAACCTTTCTCCGCTGGAGTGAGAGATTTTGATGCGTGCTGGATTGCCTTCAGATGTCCATTCGAAAATTCATGGAAGATGACTGCACCGATGCCCGTGCTGGAGGCGTCCGTTGCTACGATGATTGGTAACTTCGGGTCATAATGCGTCAGCAACATATCGGACTGCAGGACTTGCTTGAATTGCTCAAAAGACCGTTGGCAATCCGAATTCCACTGCCACTTCGAATCCTTCTTGAGTAATTGATCGAGAGGATGACGAAGTTCATCGATGTTGCGCACGAATCTGCCGTAGAAATTAACGGCTCCCAGGAACGATCGCACTTCGGAAACATTGGTGGGTGCCGGAATAGAGGCGATGGCTTGAAGCTTCTCTGGATCCGAACGGATGCCGTTTCAATCGACGATATGTCCCAAATATCTGATTTCAGTTTGGAAGAAATGGCACTTTTCCAGCTTGACATGGAACCCATTTTCCTCTAGACGTTGTAGTAGCTTGTCTAGTGGAAAGGTCGATGATGCTGAATATGGTGCTTTCGTTGAGCTGTGCGAAGATCTCCTCAGGGGTAGGTAGAGGATAGTGGTTTGCTTCAAGCGCTTCATTGAGTCCCGTGGAGTAAATAGTCCGCACAGATGCGAATTTTACCATTCGGCTTGTGTGCTGCTACAATCGGAGCGGTCCACTCTGAGAAATCGATCGGCGTGATGATTCCCAGAGACTGAAGACGTGTTAATTCTCATCCACCAGTGGAATCGTGTTGAACGGAACTGGTCGCTTCGAACAGAAAACTGGTTTGGCGTTAGGTTTGAGGAATAACTTTACCTTGGCTTTCTTGCAGTGGCCCCGCGAGTCGTCGAAAACCGCCGGATGCTCGGCTTGCAGCTGTGCTCTAGCTTCGGCGAAACTTGGTCTGGATACAGCAGAAACTCGATTGCAGAGAGTATCGAACGGAACCGACCACAGGTTGAACATGTCGATCCAATCAATACCCATTACGTTGAGATCTGGTGATGACGTTACGAAACACTGACCACGCTTGACCATGTCATTGAGGACTGCTTTACAATGGAATTCTCCGATGAGAGCGAGTGGTCCACCAGATGCGTTGGAGGCTTCGATCGATGATGGAGTTAGCTTTGGTCGTCTCAGTTGCTGCCAAGTTTTCTTGGAAATCACCGTGATATCACTTGCAGAATCCAGTCGTAGCGAAGTCATGACACCGTTAATGTTGATGGTCACATACTTGCGTTTCCGGTTGCTGTTTGCGATGTGCTTCACGAAAATTCCCTTGGCTTGAGATCTGGGACCGGCCTTCTTCTGGAACTGCTTCTTCACTCGAGGTTAAGTTGAAGAGTCGCTTGAAGACTACTTGATGCAGCTACAGTAGCCTTCTTTATGACCGATGCGGTTACATACCTTGCAGAGATGATCAGAAAATGGACAGTCACGGACGTAGTGCATCTGACCACACTGCCAGCATGGAGTACGAGGAGTGGACTTGCTTTCCGTTTTCAGTGGATGATGCTGGTTTCCGGGTTTCTTCTCCGAAATGCTATGGACCGCATTCTTCGACCTTGATGGATGTTCGATCATCGTAGTGTCCGGCTTGATGTTGACGAGCCACTGGAACTCGTCGATCAGAGTTTGAATTGTCACCGGAGCATCAGCCGTTTCACCTTCAATCCGGGATAGAAGCCTTGCTCGAATGTCCGCGTAGCGTGGTGCTTTGAGACCACAGACGAAAATCAAGCACTTGAAGTGATCAATCTTCAAATTCTGGAACTCGAACTCTTGACAGGCCATGGTGAGAGGACGTGTCCAACTTCCGGAGCAGAAGCCTAACTTTTGCTGCGTCGTCCAGACTTCGTGCGTTGCTTTCAAACAAATCCGAGTAACGGGCAAACCATTTTTCGAATGTGGTACCGTTCTCCGGATCGAAGCAGAACTCGCTGATGTTTGTCGACAGGGATTCCTAAACTTGCTCTGGGTTCGTTGCTTGTGGAACGGCCAACCGCTGTAGAAGCTGCAAAATCGCTGCTTGGAGTTCTTCGTTTGTCGTCGCCATCCTTCCTCGGTTCGATTCTGGAATTTCTTGAACTTGTGAGCTTCCAGAAAAATCCTCGTCGCCAACTGAAGTGTTCTTCTCAAAGAATAAAGAAAGTTTGAGTGCTTCTAACTGTACGTTTATTCAAGTTAACATCTACACTTCGAATCACTAATTTTTCCATCTCGGTTGCAGCTGTAGGTTGCTGCGATTACTTGAATGGAACATCGTGATTACTTGGATGGAACAGTCAATAAAGGCAATCGTGTAGGGTTCACTTTAGTAATGTTCTGTTCGTTCCAGATTTGGCGTTAAATTTGTTATCCGTGAGCAAGATGTGCCAGAACGGGTATCAGGTCATATTTGACAAAGACTCTTGTAAAGTTGTCTGACAGCACTACAAACGAAGCTGTGGCGATCGGACAGCATTCGGATGGACTCCACAAGTTAGCGTTGGCTAATAGTTCATCACTTCACTTGGCTCGAGGGCAGAACAGCTTCCAACTATGGCATCAGCGGATGGGGCACTTATCGGCTGGCTGCATGGCAAGCACCAACGACAGCCGTTTAAGGCGAAGGGTCACAGGACTGAACGTTTGCTTGAGCTGATCCATTCTGATCTCTGTGGGCCGAAGGAGACAACGTCGATAGGAGGACGTCGATATTTCCTAACGTTTATCGACGATGCTAGCAGGAAGGCGTTCGTCTATTTCCTGAAATCTTGAAGATTTCAAGTCGTATGCAGAGAACCAGACGAGTGAGAAAATCAAGCGGATTAGAACGGACAATGGCAAGGAGTACGTCAATCGGGAGATGCGCCGTTACCTTCGGCGAGCTGGCATTCACCACGAAACCACGGTTCCGTACCATCCGGAGCAGAACGGGCTAGCAGAGCGGAAGAACTGCACGTTAGTGGAGCGAGCAAGAAGCATGTTATGCGATGCTGAACTAGAGAAGCGATTCTGGGCGGAAGCAGTAGCCACTGCTTCTTACGTGGTCAACCGATCACCGACAAAAGGCCTACCGGTAACTCCCGAGGAAAGGTTCATTGGAAATCGTCCCGATTTATCGCACCTTCTTGTGTTTGGAAGCGAGGTAATGGTGCACGTTCCCAAAGAGAAGCGACGGAAGTGGGATGCGGAACGAACAAGAGGATGCGGAGGAACAGGGCGTTGATGAAGGTGATCACGAATCACTTTGATTGATGCGGATCAACAACCTGCTGCGCTCCCTCCACAAACAGAAGACCCACAACAGTTGGTAAGGCACAGTGCGAGGGAGCGCGTAGCTCCAGGCAAGTATCAAGATTTCCATTTGGGTTTCGGTTTTCTTCCTCACGAAACTTCCCAAATTTCCCAGTTACCCGAGGTCCCGGACAATTTGAATGTCGAGCCACAGACGTTCCAAGAAGCGATTACGAGCGATGAAAGCAACCGTTGGAAGGACGCAATGGTTGAGAAGTATCGAGCGTTGCTGAAAAATCAAACCTGGGAGCTCACCAATTTGCCAGAGGGAAGGAAAGCACTCCGCTGCAAATGGGTGTTCAAGATCAAGACGAACCCCGACAGATCCACAGAGCGATACAAAGCCCGCTTGGTAATCAAGGGCTATTCTCAAGTTAAGGGCTATTCACCCGTGGTCCGGTATGCTACCATCCGGTACTTGATGTCGTTAGCTGCCAGAATGGATCTCAAGATACATCAGATGGATGCAGTCACCGCATTTCTGCAAGGTGAGCTGAAAGAGGAAGACATATATATGGAGCAGCCGGAAGGTTTTATCGCCAACGGAAATCCGAAGAAGGTTTGCAAGTTGAAGAAAGCGCTGTACGGACTGAAACAAGCCAGTAGAGTATGGAACCAGAAGCTGGATGGTGAACTCAAGCGCTTTGGATTCACGCGGTCGAAGTTTGACACGTGAGTCTATTTCAAAATCGAAAATGAGGAGATTCTCATTGTGGAGGTATACGTCGACGACCTACTGATGTTTTCCAACAACCAGCGGTGGGTGAATGCTTTGAAGAAACAGCTCACAACGAAGCTTTTGATGAAGGATCTCGGATTGGCCAACAAAGTCCTTGGAATCCCAGTCGGGCGAGGAGGCGGAACTGTGTGTTTAGACCAGGAGCAGTACATTCATCAGCTGCTGGAACGAATCGGCATGAGTGACTGTGGTACAGTAGCAACCCCGGCAGATCACAATCAAAACTATCGAAGCAGATGAGCCCTAGAACTGAAGAAGAATGGAAGCAGATGCATAAATTTCCATTCCGGGAGCTGGTAGGAGGTCTCCAGTTCCTAGCGCAATGTACCCGACCAAACATCAGCTTCGCCGTTAACGCAGTCAGTCATTTCTGCAACGACCCCGGTAAGCCACACTGGATAGCAGCTAAACGTATTTTGCGGTATCTGAAAGGGACGAAGGATATGAAGCTTACTTACCGCAAGCAAGCAGATAACGGTTTCGTTGGATTCAGCGAAGCAGATTGGGGAAACGACATCGAGACGCGACGCTCTATCACCGGGTACGTCTTCATGCAGTCAGGTGGACCGATTTCGTGGAACTGTCGTAAGCAATCAACCGTGGCTTTATCAACGACGGAGGCTGAATACATGGCAGTATCAGCGGCAGCACAAGAAGTAGTGGCTTACCAACCAAGGACTACCAACAATCAATACGAAACTATCGATTTGAAATTGGCTCACTTCTTGACTAGCCTATTGGTCCCAAGCAAACGATTAACGTATCCTATTCTAGTCAGAATTCTAGTACTACACTATGTTTGTTTTGATTCTCTATAAAAGTTTGACAGACAAAATGAGGGGTTCGTAAATTTTCCCATGTTTCAAGGGATGCATCGATTAGCTTGGGACCGAAGATAGTACCAGAGCTGAGTCAAAAAGTTGAGCACGTTTCTTCGGGACCTACTAGTCTTAGAGTTACCTCTATGTGACTACGGCAGGAACTATCAGGGCAAGACGGAACGATAACCATCTTTTGCGACAAGTTGTAGCACATTGGCAGTCATCTTCAAACAGAAGATCTTCTAACAAAGACGGTGCCGGTCCCTTAACTTGAAGCTGGACGACAAACAATAGGGATTGGTAGAATTCT